AAGAGCTTTAAGTGCAAGAATATCCAGGAAATAGCCTGGAAGTGTGGAAAGGGAGCCTGAGCTATAGAAGGCACTGTGAAACAAAGGCACCTCACTGAACAGGAGGCAGGGATGCTGGCGAGTAACACTGGTTTCCTTCTCGGGCATATACCTCTAGCCTTCTGCTTGACAGCACATGTGATGGACTAAAATGAGCCCTTGCACAGAAGGTGCAGTGGTACTCTACTCCAGGAGTGTCAGGGCCACCTGCCTGTTTCAGAGGCCTCTTCACTGAAGCTGTGTTGTGGGATGGAAGGAAGAGACTTTATAGGTCTAGAAATGGGCAGGCTCGTCTCTCTGAAAGTCAGTGTTGGTGTCCTGCTGCCAGTGGCTTTGGACTGTGAAATGTGGGAGAATGGAAACTGTTTATCTGTATGGCTGGTAACATGTGAAAGGCACAATACTCGCCTGTAGGAGTTTATTTCTGTTTGAGTTCTGCTGAATCATCATGAACTGTTTCTTGGGTGGAAGCTGCTGGGCATGTTCCTATTGTAAGATATCCAGGGGTGGAACCCAAGCTTCAGGAAAAATACTTCCGTGATTCACCTGTCCTTTTTTATAGCACGTGTATTGCAGCAGTTGGGCTGTACGTTGTCTGTGCTCTGTCTCGCTGAAACTGGTGTCACTAATTTGGAAAAGCTACAATTAAGATGGAGACTTTGCAGAGTTGCAGTTCTGATACCCATATGGAACTCCCCATATCATTTACCATTGTTTAATGCGTCAGAAGGCCTCAGTGAACTATTTACCTAGAATGTCACCTTCTGGGCTTAGAAATAGTTGAGCAGATGTTAGTAAAAACCCATGAGCTGTCTGCCTCATGCTGTTGCTTATACTTTCAATTTGCTTAGTTTACTTTGGAGGTAGGACTCAGGAGAAGCCAAACCCCACCCATCTTCTTCTCTTAGGGTTCAGGAAGCTAGTAAAAAGTTGAAATAACTAGTGACAAAATCAAGCTTTCTACCCTCTTTGGAAAAGAACTATTAACCAGGGAGAATATTTTTTTTCCTCAAAGCTCTGCGCTTAAAGTGAACACAGCTCAGAGACTAGCTGGTGTTGAGCAAACTGCTGTATCTGCTGTATTTGGAGTTGAAAGATGATTGTTTAGATCACGCAAGAATGACCCAAAGTGAAATCCCTTCACAGAAGATAAGACAGAAGGGTTGAGGTACTCCTTACACAGACCTCCTCTTGTCTCTGTAGCCTACTACCGAGAGCACTTGGGCAGCAGCAGTGGAAGGTAGGCCTCCTTTCTTGGCCTCTTTTGTACTGTGTTCTTCTGAGGATGTTCTGGATAGCCTGGGCAAGTGGAACTCAAGCATTTCGGATAAGGAAGAATAAAAACATTCAGAGGAGGAGATAGGAGCATTAACACATGTCAGCCGTAGGCAGCAAGTGGTGTTTGCAGTCCCTCAGATTCTATAGTATTATTCTATACTCTGTTATCTTTTCTCTATCTCGTAGCAATTTAAAAACTGAGTGCCTTCTGGAAACTCGGATCTAGCACTGAGGTGTTCGAAAACAGGTACTCAGGGATCATTTTTATAGTGATACGCAAATGGATTTTTTCTGTCAGTGTGCTGACATCAGTTTCGTGCATCATTTGTTCTTTTAATAACAACCTTTTTTTTCTTTTCTTTTCTCTCCCACCCAGCTTCTTCCCTTTGCGTGTGTGTTGGAGTAGTGGCTGTTTTAATCATTGCAGGACTTAAACTGACCTCCCACAGAGATGGCAGACGAGGACCTTATTTTTCGTATGGAAGGGATTGATAATGCTAGATCGACTACAGCAAACTCAGGAAATTACCTTGATGCTGATAGTGATGATGAAGACAATTATTTCATCTGTCCAATAACTGATGATCCACTTTCTAACAACTCTGCTGGTATCAAAGTTGACAATTATTATAGCAGCTTAGCAAAAACTGAACAGTACAGTTCAAGCTCCTCTCCTAGAAATTCCTTTAGCTTTAAGGTAGGTATTGGCTCCAGCCTTCAGTAAGGTTTTTGTTTTACTTAGTTGGCATGAGAGACTCTAACTGCTTCATCTGTTGTAACTAACACTTTTCAATTAAAAAAAAATGTTTTTTCCAGACCTGCAGTTAATTCCATTAAGCCAATAGTCTGACACTGCCATTGAATTGCTTACTGTCCCTTTTAGTTCATTGGGAGATCTTCATCTATAAAGGCAGCAGATACCAGGTGAAGAATTCATAGCCATTATGATCAAACCATTAAAAAAGCAATACATTGATTGGGAGCTTTAAAGATCATACTTGTTGTAGGCTAAATTGGGGCCAGGCAGAAGATATTTTATTAGGTATTTTGCCCAGCGGAGTTAACAATCATAATATTTTTATGTGGACAAATAAAATTGTTAAATTACAAAATCATAATGATGGGTTTTCACATATGTTCTTTCTTAGGGAGCTTTTAACATGTTGACTCTTATGCTTGGGCATGAAGTGTCAATGCTGGCAGTAGTTCCTGGCAGTGTACTCGAGCAGTATCTGGCCTTTTTAAGATGAACAGCAAGCACAGCATTGTGGTGGGGTCAGAGGGGCCATAGCTGGTGCTTCCTTGGCAGTGTGTCCTGTTCCACTGTGCTCCCTTTGCACAGATCAGACCAGGCAAAGGGAGAGGAACCCGCAGGCAAAGGAGCCTCAAGAACACAAGTGACATTTACTCTGTAGGTTCAGTGTTCCAAACATGCACCATTTGTGGTCAGCTGGCATGTCTCTTAGGTTTTGTCTAGATGAGGATATAAAGTGTTTTATTAACACATTTCTTGTTATAAATATTAACATACTATTTATTTAATAGATACTCTAAAATCTTGGTTATGCCTAATGCATGCTTTATTCCTGGAGAGATACCATATAGTTTATTTCAGTCGGCTAACGTACTGAGTAACACAATAAAAGTAAAACTGTCTTACCTGCACTAAGATTTTTACTAAGCTAGTTAACAAAAACATTAAAAGGTACAAATAAGGAAGGTGAACAATAAAAGTTTCATATAGACAAGGGGACAGATTTCAGTGTATGCTATGTTAAGCAAGTTAAGACCTGATAGAGAGCTCAGTCTTCATTTGTGTGTACATTTTAGCATGTACTAAACACTTGCCTCTGGGTTTGCAGTGTGAGTTCTGAGTCATGTGGCCTGAGATAAAACTGAGAAGGACTTGAGAAACTGCGATTATTTCCTCCTTCCTAAGCTATCATGTTGCTTCTGCAGAATATATGTGCCCGTGTTTTGAGCTCCCCAATGTCTGGTTTGGCATTTTAGCTCCTAGCACAGATGAAGTGGATTGAGTTGAAATGTGGAGCAAGCAAGTCTCAATCTGCTTAAGATGCAGAAATGGTGACTTCCAACACAGAGTGAAGCAGCCAGGCCTGGTAACATCTTAACCACAGCCTGATCTGATCAGAGTCCACCTCTTGGACCCCAAAGATAATGGCAGCGTGGGCCATTGATAATGAAATGCAAAGACAGATAAAAGTGTCACTATTAACTCTGTCTTTAACAGGACTCAGCAATGTTTAATTACCTAGTTAATAGGCAAGACCCTTTTAACACGTTTTCCACAAAAAAAATTGCCAACTTACCTCAATAGGTTTGTTCACAGATGTTCTAAAAATGAACTTAAATTCGGAATATAAATTGAAGAGTGGCTCTTAAGTGGAATATTTATTTAATTAACAAAGAGAACAGAGACTCTTTGTCAATCATTTGTCTTATCACGTGTATTTTCCTACTTTTATGTTTCTCATGCATCCTTTAGAATGACACACAGCATCGTTCTAAGCACGGCTCTGTGGTTGACCATAGTCGGGTAGGTTAAAAAGAAAATGTGAACACCATATCTAATAGATGCATTAAGATTTTTTTGGTTGTGGCTTTTTTTTTTCCTTTTATGGCCTATTTGTCGTTATATTATTGTCTGGGAGAACTGCTTGCCTTAGCCCATAAATCATCAATTCAAAACTAAAAGATATCTGTTAAATGAAACAATACCCATCACTTCTTTTAAAGCACCTATCTGTAGTTGCTTCTTCACAGTATTTCCTACTGTGGATAAGAATAGAATGGATGTAAGACGTCTACTTAGTGTGTGTGGCAGCCATATGCCTACAGCAGGAGAAAAATCATGCTGTTAGCATCGTTTCCATGAAGTCCACCTTCTGTTTGTTCGAAGATTAGAATACAGCTTTTGTACGAAGGACCTCACAAGATCAAGCACAAGTGATTGATTTGTTTAAATCATTACCTAGCATGGACAGAGATCACCTTTTGGAGAGGGGCCCTACTTGAGAATGATTTGACATAGATAAAGACCAGGCAATTCTACTTGCTTCTGTCTCTCCCTGTTTCTCTCATGTATATTCAAGTATGGAAGTTCACAGATCCACATGAAATATGTATCTTCACATGATCTGAGGCAACTTTGTTTGCTTATGAAACATGTAGGAAATCTTAACCGGCATGTCTTTTAAATTTGTTTTATTTATTGTAGTACTGTGTTCGCTTTGTGGTTTTATTGTCAGAAAGAGGAACATTTAAATTGTTTGCAAGGTATGTAGATTTGCAGCTGAAATAAAAATAAACATGAAAAATTTAAAAGCTCAGCTGCTTCAAAAACTTCCTCGATGTCACTGCTGACACCAATTTATATGTATTTGTTTAGAAGTTTTGACTGAGATTTACAATCCAAAGGAGGAAAAAAACCGCAAACCAAGCCTTTTAAAAGTTACTGCTTCTTCATACTTGAAATTCAGTCAGAGAGGCAGTAACAAAATCTCAGAGCTCAGTATTTCTTTGCTGGTGGGGACGCAGAGTGGCCTTTTCTCCTGCTCACCTTGCAGAAGGCCTTTGGCACATCACAGGATTATGTCTCCAGTTCTCTTGGAAGAGTACAGTGTACAGAGGGAGAACAAAATGTTAGAAAAGCATCTAAATTGGCTGGTGGAGAAAGACTGTTTGTATTCCAGGAAAACTCCTTTAATTTTTTTTTTTAACTGGCAATTTGGTGGAGATTGAAATAGCTACTTGTCTGGAATTGTTACAATAATCATTTTTACAACATTTTAATTTTTTCTTTCTTATGCAAAATGCAATTCGGGGGCCCTGGGGTTTACAGAACTTTTTTTCTTTGTGCATATTGCTCTATCGCTAATGGACTTTTTAAAGCTTATTCTGCCAGCATATGCTGTTAGTTACAAAAAGTTAAAAATCAAAAACTGTAAGTGAATTTATATCATCTAGGTGTGACTTATCACTATTTGCAGCATATGATAGAGATATTTGCAAATTACATGTTTTGCAAATGATATTTGGTATATACTAGACCAGATTCTGTTCTCGGTAATGTTATGGCAGTGCAAACTGAACTGAAACCTCATGCTTTGTATTTATGAACTGTGTTTCATTATACTTAAAGCTACAAAATGTCAGAGTGGTCTTCTGTACCGCTTGGTCCCTGCTCTGAATAGTGCTTTGGGGGGTTGTATAGTTGCATGGTATTGGGATCCTGATGTGCTCTAGAAAATGCTGGTGTTGTGAGGTGCTGCTGATTACAAATAACCTGCCAGTTTGTAACTTCTTCAGGAAGCCTGGAAACATGCTATTCAGAAAGCTAAGCACATGCCTGATCCGTGGGCAGAATTTCATCTGGAGGACATTGAGACGGAACAAGCCACTCGTTACAGGTCTGGTGTTTTTTTCTGCTTTTAATGCTGATGTTAAACAGAATGTGCTGGTTTATGCAAGGGCTGTGTTTGTGTAGTGCAGAATATGTGTAATTACATGGCTGAAGAACTTTCAATAATGTCCAAAGTTAGTATGTCTTAACTGAATCTGCCAGGAATACATAAATACTGCATATCATCAAAAAATAAACCTTTTGGCAAACCAGCGTCATGCTCTTTTTCTCTCTCCCACCTAAGTAGTTTCTATGAGTTTCACCAGACAGGAAACAAGGCTGAAAACAATTTTCTAGTTGATTTATTAATACTGTAAACTTAAATCTAATAAGGAAATGAATTGCAATAAAGAGGCAGCATACTTGGTTTAAGTAGTTTAGAAAAAAAAGCAACATAACACTGTGTGCCTTTCCCAAAATAGCAGTTTCACTGTTGCCTGTCTATGCAGTATTGCTGCATGTGGCTGGAATTTAAATCCTTATAAAGCCCAGAATAGCTCACATGGTGTACGTGCTGAAGCTGAGTCTGGCCCTTAAACTATTCGCGGTGGTTTAGCACAGGCTTTGCCAAAACATTTACCCTACTGACACAGGTTTCTGGGTGGAAGGGATAGGAGTTAGAGGCCAGTTAATTACCACTTAGCATCAGTGTTTGGGGAGGCCTCCCTTCCAGTCACATAACACTGTCACGCAGTGCTGTTCTTCCCCATAAAATACATCTGTCCCTAGTCAGCCACAAGTCCTGAAATAGTTTGCATATTTTAAAATACAAGCAAGTGATTATATTGGTTGAGGGCTACTCAAATACCCTATTAAAAAGAGATGGCTCTGCTATTCCTATTTCCACCTCCTTTGCTGCAAACTGGGGATGATAGAGAATATATAAGGGGGTATAGGGGGTGTCTGCATGCATGAAGTACTTGGTGCAGGTTGGGGGAATTGGGCTGGAAACAATCATGTGTTGGTGACTCAACCACTGTGGTTCTCAATTTGGCTTTTACTGTGTTGGGAGTTAAGGGGGTGGGGAGAAACCACAGTCGTACTCTTTGTATTATGATAGTGTTGTGCAGAGACTTGCTTCTCCCTTGGTGCAGTGTTGGGCAGGTCTTAGCCCCGCTGGTTTTTGCAGCCTCATCTGGTGCTGTGTACTGCTCTCATCCTCCACAGCCCTGCGGCAGATCCCCAGCTAGAACCAGGTTTATGCAAGCTCAGGGTTGGGGGATACCCCCTGTTCAGTGTGTAGGGCTTGGTAAGGCCCTTTCTGCTCCCGGTGCACTGCCTAGGCATCTCAGAGGAGATTTAATATCAAAGCAGGTAAAGCCTAATTTGTAGTGTTGCAAAAGTTTAGCTTCTGCAATGGAATCTGTTCGTTGTCAGTAGGACTCAGTGTCTCTTCAAAGACCTATACATATTTTTTTCTTTCCCGTCTGAAGTGAAGAGGGCAGGAGTGTGGTGGGAGGACTAGAAGTTTTTGTGTTGGAGTGGCAGCAGTACTTTTTAGCAGTCAGCTGGAGATAAGGAAGGATAGGTACTGGGGATGGGAGGATTTGGATTCCCTCTGCACTTTTCTAAGAGGCACATCTCCTGATTTTGCAGGTACAATGCAGTTACTGGGGACTGGGTTGAAGATGAAGTCCTCATCAAGATGGCTTCACAAGTAAGATCACACTCTACTTCATCTTTATTAGCAGCCAAATTTGTCATTTCCTTCCTGTTAACTGAATAGTGGCAGCAAGATGTTCTCCTCATCTAGAAGTTTTGAAGTCTCAATGTCATTTTTTCTCCTACCTCTCATTTTCCTTGGCTCATCCGTTATGTTTTGGTGTCCCAACAGTCTTTTCTCCCCAGAGCGGAGTAGAACGTGGAGTCAGCCCTTCCCCCTAAGCGACATGAGGCATTTGTTCCTTTCCCAGTGTTGTCTCTGCCGTTCCAGCCCTTCCATTTCCTGCTGGCCTCACCTCCCTGCCTGGCAATAGTCCTACTATTTTGGGTGCTTCCAAATAATTTCTGTTCTTAGGATGAAAACAGACTGAATTTTTGGTATATGAGGGTAGAAGCTACTGTCACTTCCCAGTTAAATCATGGGGTTGGTGGTGAGTTGGAGTCGCTTTGCTCTGTGCTACTCTTGTAGTATCTGGCGTCTGGGGAGGTGATGCTGTTTGGCACATCCTGTATGAAAGCCTAAATGTAGAGAGCATGAGGTCTGTGAAGCCAGCTTGTCTAGGCAGTCACAACAGAGCTGATTCCAAACTGGAGAGAGAATTTAAATAGCTTCTTTAAAAGATAATGTCATGTCTGCTCCATGGGATATCGGGGGCAGGGGGGAGGCGGGGGACGGGCTGGGCTTATTCCCTGTGTCTTTTCCCCAGATTCCTATTTACAGTGCCAGTGAGTTTTCACTTTTCTTTGAGGAGATAGATATTGTATGGAGCCTGTTTGAGAACTGCTTTCTACGGGATATAAAGGAGGAAGACATGGTTGTGTCTCTAACTGGTCAGAAATTAACTTTGTGGAAATAGCAATGTTGGGTATTTGTTTTTTCTTTTTCTTTTCCCTAGCCTTTTGGCCGTGGAGCAATGCGAGAGTGTTTCAGAACGTAAGTATCTGCTGGCTTTATCTTTGTTGGCAGTATTTTGTTCTGTGATGACTGGAATTTCAGTTAGGTGCAGTGGAAATTGTATAAACTGTGGCTCCCCATTAGCTCCCCACTGTGCCTTTCTAAAAGGCATAGCTGAGGGGTTTATTCCTGTTTGTGTGACTCCAGTCACAGCACAGGGAGTGGGTTCAGAAAGCAGAAGATTCTTTTAAGGGAAGCACAAGCAACTATGATGAAGGTATCCAGTGAGTTTGCTTTGGAAAGTCAAGCCGTTGCCTATACTGGAACTGCAGTGGGCTGGATAATGTGCTATCATGTACAGTTCCAGCAAGTATAATCAGCCTGTCAATTAGCAATTCATAAATTTATGCTATTTCCACTATGTCTTGCAGGCAAAAACTCATAAAAGTACAGAAGCAGCTACTTCGTTTCTGTGTTCCTGGTGTGCTAAAATATGTTTGAATTTGATATGAGGCTGTAGGTGTGTGCAGCCTGAAGGCCAACTTGAGGCCTGTAGTTATGCAGAGAAAAGGGGAAAGAATAGCTGGATGGTGCAATCTCAACTGGAAAAGCCTCCCTTGGCAAAAAAGGTTATCATCCCAGAGTTTACTTTGGATCGTGTGTACCAGAGTAATCCTGTTCTGAGTAAGGCAGAGCTTGAACACGTAACAGTAACTCTTTCCACAAGAGTAAAGTGGGGGGGAAGACAGAGGAGGAACTTTTCTTTCCTTGGGGAGTGTTCACAAATATGGTTGCAGGCATCAGCATCTAGCAATAAATCAGTTTGTTTGTGCTAGAGTTCCCCACCCTTTCCAGGCTCTGGAAATGAATGCTTCCTGGAAAATCTACGTCTGTGTTTAAAATTGTTCCTGCTTCTTTCCAGCTGCAGTATCCAGAGAAATTGCATTTCATGTCTCGTTTTACTTCTGGAAAGAGAGAAACTCCTGAGTGACAGAAACATGATGTTTTGAACTTGAGCAAAAAAGGGGAAAAGTAACTCCTCGGTCCTCCAGTTTGGCATTGTTTCAATATTGGTTCATGCTGGTGGTTCTGTTCTTGCAAAGCCAGATAGAGCAGTGAGTGAAGCCTAGGAAGTAACAAATCTTAGCCTGCTGACATTGCTTTTAGCTTTTGTTATTTACTAGATTCCCCTTTACCAGTGCCTTGAGTAGTGCCATAAACAGAAATTTTTCTTTACAGCTTTGCCTTAATATGAAATATAAATTATTTCATTATAAATGCCTTAATATAAAATAAAATAAATTTGCCTGTTATACAAAGAAAGCGTAACTCGTATGTCAGCTTCCTACTGCTGGATTTTCTGTAACTCTAAGTGGTGCACTGATACTTCCCATCTGGGGATCTCTCTTCTAGATTTTTCAAATTTTGCAAGTCTTTAGTCATGACAGTGACAGCGTTATCTGCACTTGGCTCAATGAACTTCAGAGACTATTTGCTTTAGAAGAGCATGTGCTGGCTTGTTTTATGCAGAAAAATGTGTTTCTTCAGAAAACTGGAAAGGTTTCAAATCGTGGCTGAAATTCTTATCTCACTTGCTTGTTCCTTCTTTCCAAGGCCTCTGTTGTAGCAACTGTCTGCCCATCCCTGCAGGAGGACAGAGAACCTGAAGTTGCTTTGCCTTTAGTGTCCCCTGTATCAAGACCTCTGCACCAAGGTCTTGGGAGGGAGAGAGGAAAGGAAAGAGGGAGAGGCTTCAGAGTTTGAGTGCTGTTACTAGCTTCTCAAAATGTACAATTTGCCATGGCACCAAGAAAGGCTCAGAGAAGCATTGTTTGTTACTGAGGAGAGGATGAGAACTGGTTGGTAGCCAGGTGTGCCTTAGTCTAGGTAGTCGTCTTCATACTCCTCCCCCTTCAGACTGGCTTGGCATTGCTGGGGTCTCCAGCAGTACCACTGCTGCCACAGGAGAGGGGTTTTATGCCTTTTTGTTATCTTCTCTGTTGAATTAATTTCTCACAGAGGGGGAGAAGTGCTTTCCCACTTGTGTCCCATATAAATGCATGAGATTGCTTTAGGAAAGAAAACTGTGTCTTCTCTGGAATTCTTAATAACAATGGTGGGGTTTTTTTCCCATTTGACTTGAATGTTGGCATCTTCTGCATCCACTGGGTACCTGCTTAATCCATTTGTTGTCAGCCAGCAGATCCTCAAAGTCTTCCCCCCCACTTTTGAGGAATATGTGGATTAAAGATTTGCACATCAACAAAAGTTAAAAGCTACATCGTAAGAACTGTCAGGTGCAGTTTTCCTTCTGGGAGCATGGGCAATACTGAGTTGTAACCCCTGTATGTGTCACCCCTGTCCTCTCAGTTCATATTTGAAATGTCACTCCCTGTTAATTTCTGCAGAAAATAATTGTTGACATTAATACAGGGCGTTGAGGTGGCACTAGCCCTTTCATACTTTGGGTTTGAGGGGAGCAGAGAGGGAAAGGAAATGTGAAAAGGAGGAAGTCCAGAGTAGAAGCAGCTGCAGTCGAACCAAACGGGCACTTTGGCATGTCCCAGCTGTTCACGTGGGATGTTGCTTTTTCTCTTGCCCCCTACCTGTGCTTCACTTTGCAGCTAGAATATCTGGTAATTGAGGGTAATGCTGATCTGCAGGCAAAGAAATGGGAAAGATTGAATTAAAACTCTTGGTTTTCCTTTCACCAACTATTGATTTGTCTTTCAGGAAAAAGCTGTCCAACTTCTTACACACACAGAACTGGAAAGGTGCCTATAACTATGTTGCCAAACAATACATAGAGAGTGTGGCCAGGGATGTGTATTTTGAGGATGTCCGGCTTCAGATGGAAGCAAAACTCTGGGGAGAAGAGTACAACCGGCACAAGCCACCAAAACAGGTACATTCAGAGATCTTGCTAAGCAAAAATACAGTCTCACTCTCCTATTAGATTAGTTTTCAAATGAATTTAGAGGGAATTACTTGTTCACATTCCATTAAATTTAAATGCTTAGATAGATTCTTCTGTCCTACTGTGTTTTCCATTAAACGATACCTGATTTTTAATGAAGTAAATGCAGAAATTGCTTTATATTTCCCGAATTAGGGATTGTGTGTTTGTGAATGTCTGACTGTTCTCAGCTGTTGACTGAAGTCCAAAATGAAATGGTGTTTGATATTTGCTTTGCTATTTTTTTATATTTGCCCAGCTGCTTTTGAGATAAGCAGAGATGTCACAGAATTTATTGCAAATAGGAGTCTCAGCAAGCACTTAACTGTTAGTGCTCCAGGAAGGCAGATGCTTAAAGCTTGCAAACCCATCTAGATGCCTAATTAGCACTGATTTTTTTAAAAAGAGCTGGAAACCTGAATAACTTTACAAAGCTATTCAAATACAGCTTTCTGAGGAGTGATCAAGAATTTTTAGAAAAATTAAGATACTGTGGCTTTGTTTCCTTCAGGTGTCTCAGTGACAATACTAGCATGTTAAGATGTATGAAACTCCCAGGTGTATGGAATATCAGACTAGGCTCAGGGTATCAAGAGAAGTTCCCATCCTCTGCGCTAGGGATGTGCGTGAAGAGGTGGTTCTGCTGCTTTGTGGCTGTATTTCTGATTCTGGGGTCCATGCTAAACGTTTGGTACGGCCAACGTGGCTTTGCACTTTGCCGTGCTGGTAAGTTGGATAGCTGCTGGTCAAAGCTGGCCGTTGCGTCCTGGATAAAAACACCTTGAGCAGCAATTATCTTGTTAAAAGACAAGAAGCTAAAGTGGAGGGATGAAGGACTGCAGCTGTCACTCACTCACAGCCAGTAGCTCCTCTTTGAGTGTGTCCATGGTATGTGTCAGTGAAGCTGTCAAGTCCTGTTAATCCACAGCTGATACTGAATGCCTGAGTGTAACTGTGACTTCGAATGAGTGGAAGAGGCAGCTTGTAGGAATGGTGATGTGCATGCACTGTGGTGTCTTGGTTCCTGCACTTGGCTCTACTGCAGACTGTGTGTGACGTGATAAGATGCTTGGGTCAAGAAGTCTGCCTCAGTGTGGGGGCCTTAACAGTTTAATAGCCAAAATGAGTGCCTTTGAATATGTGGACTACGTACATTGCCTCCCATATGAGGGTTACTTAGTAACTACCTGTCTCCCAACAGCAAGGTGAGGTACAGAGTGAAGTGCACAGAGAGGAATCTAGAAATCTTAAAAGTTTTAAATGCCATGTGGGGGAAAAGATGTAAGCAAAGCGAGAGTTGTGATGGTTTCTCTTTTAGGAACGTGTCTGGGACAGAGGGAGGAGGTGAGACAGGATACAGAAATGTCCGAATGGTAGACGTCTCAGTCTTCTGAAAAGGCATTTCTTTGAGTTGTGCAGTAGTTTCTAATGTTTTGCTCTCTGAGTATAAATTCTTTGAGTGTACTCTTAAGGTACCCACAAAAATAAAATAAAAAGCCCACACTTACTAAGAATTTTTCAGAGGGATTTATTGCAGAAGTGAGCTGTTTTGAAGTGACTGCTTTTAATTTATGAAATTCCTCCAATAACCTAAGAAGCACATGACTCTTCCCCCACTCCCTTGTTAAACAGACAGATATTTGCAATTGTTCAGCTTCTTTTATTGGGAAAGTTTTCACAGCTGGAGGATTCACACACACTTTGATCTGAAGACAGTATTCTGTTAGTCATTGTTTATCTTCTTTCTCTCCCCAGGTGGATATAGTACAGACCTGTATTATTGAAATGAAGAACAGACCTGGAAAGCCTCTCTTTCATCTGGAACATTACATTGAGGGCAAATACATCAAATACAACTCAAATTCTGGATTTGTGCGAGACGACAACATTCGTCTTACTCCGCAAGTGAGGCTTTGTTTAATGCTTTCCATAGAGTCTGCTGCAGGAATTTCTTGGCTCTATCCAGATGTCTTGCATTACTGCCAAGAAAGGAAACTGCAGGCTTTCCAGTACAATGCCAAATTATTTTCTCTTTTTGCAGTATGTCTGCACCTTATTTGGGCCTGCTCTTTCAAGAGCCGAGTGCTTCTGTATTGCATTTCGGTGTCTGTTGCTTTTTGTTGAATGTGCTTAATACTCTTAGGAAACGTTAAGCCCTTTTGACTCCAATCATAATTGCAGACTTTGACATATTTCAAACTCTCTTCAGATTAAGGCAGGAAGAGAGACCTCTCATGGACTATGTACTGAATAGTCTTCTGGTGCCTCATGCACAAAAGGAGGTGGCAGATACCCAACTCATATAACTAAACATCTAGTCCATTTGCATATAAGAATGCGTTTTTTTCAGCTACAGCCTCTGAATAGGTGAATCTGAGATCGCATATAGAAATACAAGTACAGATCTCAAGTGATTCTTGGGTCTCATAAAAGAACTTTAAAATGCTGGCGAAAAATGCAAAGTGGTCAGCGTAGCAAAGGAGTGTTTTACTGGGGCTTGAGGGTTTTGTTCTTTTAATTTTTTCCCCCTATTTTTAAGGTATTTCTCATGCAGAGGGTTTATGTTCTGGGCTGTCTTTTCTACACTGAATCAGTGCTATGCTTGCACAGGTTGGGAACAAAATGTTCTGAGAGATTTGCTGTAGTTAAAATGTTTGTCTGTCATCACCAGTTACCTCCCCCAGGCCTGGCAGTGCTTTTTTGGAGGCCTTCCCAGAAGATTCCTAATGTCTCAGCTTTATGCCAAAGAGAAGGGCTTTTATACATCATTCTTGAAAAGCTGCATTTAAAGGGTAGAAAAGTAATTTCATTGTCTGCTACACGAATGCAGAGCCAGATCAGCCGTTCAGGGGAACTCCCAAGGGCGTGGTAGAGGAAGGAGAATTTGTGGGGATGCTCAGTTTTGGTTTTTTTTTTTCTTCCCCAAAACGTGGCAGAGCTTTGCCTGCTGGCAGGAGGAAGCAGTGTTCCAGGGCTGCAGAGGTTGGAGATACACAGGCACAGCCGGAACGTTTATGCAGAAGTGATTCTGCACTGGCTTCAGAGCCCACTGTTGTTCCCTCTGCCAGGCAGGTCCCCACTTCTTCAGGTGAAGACTGTAGTGGAAAATACGATCTCCAGTGCAGGAAGGAGGAATAAAACAACCTCCTTTCCCCTGCGTGTTCCCACTGCTGCTTTTCGCCCTACTTCTTTTAGCATATCTCTGAGTGGGGGCAGGCTGCAGAAGCAATCTACTACATGCTTTTAGTCTCTCATTGCTTTCAACATGATGTTTATACCAGTTATATTTCACAAAGAGTGTTATCAGACTTCTTTGCCCATTTATAAGTGGTGAATATGTGTTGCTGTTTTCAGTAGATCAAGGGAGAGTTTTCTCAGACATCTTGTATGGTTCTTCTCAGGCTTTTAGTCACTTCACCTTTGAGCGCTCAGGACACCAACTCATTATTGTTGATATCCAGGGAGTTGGAGATCTTTACACGGACCCTCAGATCCATACAGAGAATGGTACAGATTTTGGAGATGGCAACCTAGGTAAAATCAATGATTGTGTTTCGTATGCTAATAGATGCATATTTTCTCTTCCCAGCTGTCTGCTGAGTAGCCACTGCACAGCTGAGTGAACAGGCAGGTTTCTGAGGGTCTTGCAAACAGCTGGGGATGTTCTGTTGTAAGGAGTTTTTGACCCATGCAGCTGTAACATGACAGCAGATGTAAAATGAGAGCTGATCTTGGCTCATGTCTCCTGGCCTAATCTTAAACCAAACAAGTAATGAAATTAAGTAGCTTCTTATAACGTGAGAGCAATAATCATGGCCTTTGATTTCCTTGCCATGTTGCAGGAGTGGATGCAGCTGAATGTGGAGAGATAAGCCTTGCATACTTTTAGAGCACCAAGTGACCGTACATCGAGTTGTTCGTAGGACACAGCAAGTTTTGTAAGCAGGATCAAATTTAGGCATGTTTCTCAATGATGTGGCTAGATTAAATTTATTATTATATCCTGTGCATACATAGCTTTTGAAGATTTTGCAGACTTACAGGTGTTAAAATAAAGTGGAAGTGGGTTGAGCTGTGTGTGCGACAAAACACTTCCTTTCTGTTTTGACTTCTTAAAAAATGCCTTGGGACTTCTAGATTTTAATAATTAAACCATCATATAAACTGAGTAAACTCTTTCTCACTTTTTTTTTTAAAATGCTATAGGTGTTCGAGGTATGGCCTTGTTCTTTCATTCACATTTCTGCAACAAGATTTGCAAAAGCATGGGCCTCGCACCATTTGATCTTTCATCCAAAGAGAAAGATGCCTTGGATTGTAATAAAAAATTACTTGTAAGTGCTTGATGAAGAAAGTCTAACTAAGCAGAATAACTGGTTTATTCTGTCTTTAAAAGCCCTGTAAATAGAACTGAAATAGCTATTTACATGACAAATAAAACCACCTTAATCACTAATGTTGCAGTTTAAAGTACAGCAGTTTAAAGCTAACTTATCCATACTTGTCTCTGAATTAATGCTGTAGCTTTAATTAATAAGGAACCTTGTACCACATGTATATTTAGGACCAAGTATCACTGAATGCTGAAATGATTAGTGAGTTTTGTATCTCACAAACCTAATTTGTGGAGAAAAAAAGAATAGAACTGCTCATCTTTAACTGATCTCAGTTTCACTGATATTAGTGGGAATGGGACTTGATGAAATGCTTTGAATGAAACTCAGTCCTAAACAGAACTCACTCTGACTGATAACGGTGCCAGGACTTGAGATTTCGTTGGGGTGTAGAACTTTTCAAAGCAAATACTTACATATCCGTGTGCATATTTATACCCCCCTTTTGTGGAAGACCCCTGATAAATATTCATGTTGGCTTATGTAGCATGCTTAGAATACAGAGAAGCATTATTCATGGGACTTTCTTGTTAATTTACCAAGGAATCTGCTCAAACAATTCTCCGTGGCACAGAGGAAAAATGTGGCAGCAGCCGGGTGAGAACAGTCTCTGGTAGTCGGCCACCTCTGCTCTTCCGCCTGTCTGAAAACTCTGGAGATGAAAGCATGAGCGATGTAGCATTTGACTCCCTACCCTGCTCTCCTTCCTCGGCAACCCCTCACAGCCAAAAGATGGACATGCTTAGTGAGTGAGCCTCCTGTGTAACTTCCTTGGGATTCCTGAACATTTGACAGTGGCTTGTTTTATTTTGTTAGTTTTAAACGCAACAGCATGTTGTATTTAGTCCAGAATACTTCTCCAGCATTCCTCTTTGAGCAGAAATAGAATTAAAAGTACTTCTATGTAGATAATAAATGCACAGATGCTTCTGTGAAAAAACTGCGATAAAATGTTGGTATCTAGAGCTTTCTCCTCAAGCCTGTTATCTTTACAATAAGAAGCAAATATTTTTCTTCCTAGATTGGCCTGTCTTCAATGAATTAGATAATTTGGTTCACAAAGACTATGATCAGCTTGATAACCAGAGGGTGAGTGTCTTTCCTGAGATTGCAGTTCCTTAACGAATGTGTCTTTGAACGATCGCTTGAAGGCTTTGTTCAGTAAAAGCACATAAAAGTGCTCTGCCTGCTTTCATTGCTGCAGGTCATGTTACCTGCATGCATATGCTGTTTCTAATAAAGGAACAACATTTTATTTTAAAATAGTTTTCTTTTTTTTTTTTTCCCTCCAGAAATTTATTTGCATCTGGTGTGTTTTAGCAGATAATTAAAGAGTGTATCTGTTCCCTTGCCTGCATGGTATGTCTTTGGCACTTGTGCCAACTTCTGTGATATGAAAGCTAAACAGAATCCCCATTGATTGTGTCTGCAAATACTGGTGCTGTGGGATGTTAGAAAACCTCACCTGAGGAGACTGCAATAAACTTGCAATGGATATTTTCCAACCTAGGGCCTTAGTGATAGGGGCTGTCAGTTACTGTTTTATCTTTTTACTGACTGCCACTGAAGACTGAAAACTATACTAAGTGGACTCTTGGTTTGATAAAGTATGTGAGTCCTTGATTTTTATTTTTTTTTAATGTAGCTAAGAAAGAACACAAGCTTGGACAGTACCTTCTGGGTCATTAAGTCCTGTTATGTCTGTTAGAGGTAGCACAACATACAATCATTTTCATCCAGTATATCCATCCAACATATCTCGTTGCACCAGCAGAAGATTTTCTCTGGGAATTGTCAAGCTGAGATCCTTACAAAGGGTAGTGCTAATGCTATGATGTTTTGTTCTTATCTTCTGTAGGATTTTGAAAATGGTGGAGACAGTGGATATCCCAGTGAGAAGCGGAGTGAGCTCGAAGATCTGGATCATAGAGAGAGGGTAAGGACCGTAGTCCTTAGAATCTTATTTTTTTATCCCTCTTGATCTAGACTTTGTAAACAGAGGAAATGGTTGGAAAGAAATTCCCACACGTTGCAAAATTAGTTGTTCATCTTGGGAATGTTAATGATGCTTTTATAGGGAAAAACACTATTTGTAACCAGGAGCTTAATTTCAAATGTTATGTTGGGTTGCATATTGTTGTAGGTTTTTTTTTTTTTAAGTATTCTGTATTGCATTTGAGAAATGTAGCCACCTTCTTGTCATATGGAATCCATGTATGTGATCTGCTTCCAGGCTCGTTTGCCCTTTCTGCTTTCTATGACTTCATATGGCTGGGGATATCACAGAACTTAATGTTGTTGTCAGTTAATAATATGCAACTCTAGAATTTCTGTGTGTTAGTTGTTCACTCCTTTAAAATACAAACTTTTAAGTAAATGCTTTTTGACCTAAAGATCTTCACTAGATATTTAATTAGAAGATAGGAAAGAGAATACTGCTTCCAAAGATACCACTCCTTTTGTGACCTTTGAAGCAGCAAGATGTTTGTCATGGGATATCCAGTTTACAGGATTAAAGCCTGGGTGTGCCATATTCTTCACAGTTTCAGTATGTTTCTTTTTATATTGTGATATCACTGAGAGGAGAAACTATCTTGGTCATTGTCAATATTAATTTTGTTGGATAGGAGTAGTCTAGGGGGATAACTAGCACACATCAGTTGCTGCACATCAAGTGATACAAATCTTTGCATTAACATAGGGCCATTCAAACAACAACCGAAGAAATGAATCTGATGAAGACAGTTTGGGAAGCTCTGCAAGGGTAAATAAAGCAGAAATGTTCATAGACAATGAGTTTGCCACTCTGCTTGTCCTTTGTTCCGCTTACCTGTCATGTAACTTCACATCACTAAATCAGAGAGCAGTTTTCCTTCCTTTTCAGCCACAGAATATGTTTCTTAATATTAACTTACCACTCTGTGCTGGTTCCTTTTTTGTTTTGTCTTTATTTTCCAGTTAAAGTACTGTTATAAACAAATTGTCACCTCTGTAACTGAACGCTGACATAAATCGGTGATTAAGCATGCATTTCTTGCTTTAAAAAGAAATAATTGTAGTTCTATGGATTTTTTTTTTTCTCCTGGCTAACTAGATTGTACTTCCTTTCTGCATTTTATTTTTGGAATTGTGTCCCATACGTGGTTGGATGACTTTTGAAAAACATGTGGTGTTTGAAATATGTGACTGTAGCTCTCTCCACTGTGAATCTAACGGAGCTAGGGAAGACCAGACCATCTTGTATGTTTTTACAAAGTATAGCTTCTGTGAGAATTAGTTTCTGTGGCTATAAACTTAAACAAATAACTATTCTGCAAGGAAAGAAAAAACAGAGCTTTGACGACAATGAATAATTTACTTAGATACGCTTTTCGAATTTCCTTGTAATGATTATGTATTGCTGTTTCAGGAAATTGAAACAGCTTTAACAGACTCAAGTTTTGTGCCAATAACCTTCCCTCTTGTGCTTCCCCTGTGTACTTCCAAAGGCTTTCATTTTGATAGGATTGGTTTTAGCTGCTGTTTCCCATCCAGCCATTATGTTGAAAAGTTGTTTGTTCTCATTTGTGTTGGACATCCTGAGAAACACCAATGTGTGTATCTGCCTATCATCTTCTGCACTGTTACTTCTCATTTTTCTAGAGTTGTATAACGCAAGCAGCATTTAAAATGTTTTGAACTGAAATTGTGAACAGAAAAGTATGGGTTTCATTTTTTTGTGCATGGATAACCTCAGTGCTTGCAGTGTGACTGTTCAGGTGCTTGTTTTTGTAAGTACCTTTTTTCTGATTCAGAACTTAAGATAATGCTTTGCTTCACTGCTTTGCTTCACTGCTGTAATCTATGGAAGTTACTTGATGTTTGGATTAGAAATGGTGGGCTTTACTCTGTCTCTGTATGAAAAATAACAACTTACTAACAGGACCTTTGAAAGCTGTGTCTTAAATTAACAGAGGCTTTGATTGCTGGATGGTAATCCATATGAATAGTATGGAAATTTTAATTTTGAATAGAAATAATAGTATATTACCTATTTCAGATCAGTGTGGAGAAATGGAATCTCTACAACTCTTCCAGAGTCCACATCCACAGACCGTCGTGTGTTGCCCAAGAAATTCAGAGGCTTAATGCGCTAGAACTTGAAAAGAAAATTGGGAAGTCAATCCTTGGGAAGGTAGGATGGGACTAGTAATCCTCTTCTTTCCAACTGGAAGGAAACGTCTTGTATTCATTCCTTACATAGAGGTGTTGCCCTGCGTGAGTTATTTGTGCAGGTGAAAATGAATAACATGTCTATTGCTTTCTGTCACCTAATCGTATTTTATACGGACATCTAAGCTCAGGAACCCATGGATTCCATCTTTTGGACTCGCAACATCTCTGCTTGTTTGGGCAGGACTATGCTGTTGGTTCGTCTGCCCTTCTAGCAGCAGAGAAGATATAGTGGGACAGATATGGTGTGCCTGACCCACATACCTTGCAAGTAGGCCACGTTGGGCTCCTGAAAAATGGTAGCATGGACCTACTGGTTTTACTCCAGACTATCCCAGACAATGCAAATGAGAAGGAGGTTTGGGTCTACATGCAAAGCACACAGTGTAGATCTTCCTGAACATCCTGAGAGCCTCGGATGTTCTCAGACCTTTTGGTTTGAGAAGAAACCTGCCTTTCCCTTGGGGAGGGGAGGAAAAAAACCAAAACCTCAAAATCCCATGGCATGTTTGGAATGAAATCCTGCCATCACTGACAATAAAGGATTCAGTGGTATGAGGATTTTACCTTGGCTAACCTTCTTGATTTTCTAGGCCTCAGGTTAGTTCCTTTCTTGTGAGGGCCCTTGCTGCACATAAAAGTCTGTGACCCATGGTCACTGCCATTTGCCCTGCTGGCTGGTGTGTTAGGCAATTGCAGGCTGGGTGCCTTTAACTATGACTCTCTCCTAAAGGTCTCCAGGGCCCTAGCAGATATGCTGGGACATGCTCCTAAGACCTGGTACTCTGCTGTGGCAACCTGCTGGGATACTGCTTAGGGCACACTGATGTGGGAAGGTGTTGTGGCAGCTACTGTCTTGATGAATTAGGTCTTTTATCACTAGTAGTCAAGTTTATAAAGCTGTATGTGTCTAAGCTTACAGATCTGGAGAGGCAGCTGCACTGCATATAATAATTGCTTTTTGCTTGTTTAGTATGTTCAGGCACAAGTCAGGCTCCAAGTCTATGTGTTATCAAACTAGTCCTCTGCTCAGTCTCAGAGGTACACAATTAGCTGTAATTAAAGTAGTCACCACAGAGGGGTATTTTTGTGCCTAAGTAACGTATGGGCACAGGGCTTTTGAAGAAGCAGATCTATAATTAATACTTGTGTCTCTTTCCTGTACGATTGTTTTAGGTTCATTTGGCCATGGTTCGCTATCATGAAGCTGGGCGTTTCTGTGAGAAAGACAAGGATTGGGATCGGGAGTCGGCCCTGTTTCACCTGGAGCATGCTGCAGACTGTGGGGAGCTGGAAGCCATCGTTGGGTTAGGACTCATGTGCTCTCAGCTGCCACATCACATTCTTTCTGAGGTCACTCTAGAGGTAAACAGAAAAATCAAAGAAAATGCCAAAATGCAGGATTGTGGCCCATTGTAAAAATAACATAAGAATAGCAGAAAATGGAGAGAAAACAATAACCATAGTTAGGTGTTCTGTAGCCTTTTCAGAGAAAATAGATGAGTTTGTAATTAAGGACTTGGACAAAGCAGCATAAAATGCTCCCTGTTCCTGGTTTTGCCAGCAAATTACTGCATACCTTTGGGAAGTTTTTGAAGTGATCTTTACTATTCAGCCTCTCAGTTTCTTGTGGCTCATCCTCTTTCTCAGACATACTAAATACTTGCAGCCATTACTGACTTGGAGAAACTGCATTTATTGTTAGAGGAAGGAAGAGTTGGTTTTACTTAAACACACATTTTACAGGTTTTGTTTGTTTTACTAGGACACAAAGGAGAACAGAAATAAAGGATTTGATTACTTGCTGAGAGCAGCAGAAGCTGGAGACCGGCCTTCCATGATTCTGGTAGCAAGAGCATATGATACAGGTGTAAATCTTGGTTCAGACAGGTAATGTGCATGACTTAACTTGGTGGTACTCCACAGCGGGACGGGGTTGGAGAAGCACTTGCTTCGTGTCTTTCATTCGCATAAAGAGCTGCTACGGAGTAGGGTGTTGGAGTTACTTCAACCTGGTGTGAATAAAAGCAGGGTTTAGGCTATGATATATCAATACAGAAAGAAAATCAGAGATCATTTCTGCTGTTGGACGCCTGCATGTATGTTGGATCCACTTGCATGTTTGAGTTTAGCCTTTATACCAAGGCTGCCCTATGATAGCCAAGGTTTTTTGTTCTGAAGTTGGTGATAAAACTCCCCTTGACTTCACTAGGAGTTGCATATTTGAAAATCATGGGATCAGCGGGAAAAAATGAACACGAGTTATTTTTGAGATAGAGTACCCAAAAAATAAGTGAAAAGTATTTGCAGCTGCCATGTGTGCTCCTTAGTGATTTTTCTAAAAGCACAGCTTTTTTTAGAGTGGGGTGTTTTTTTTCTAATTAAGCTGTGAAAGAAGCTGTAGAACAGGAGAAATAAATGAAGTAGTAAAGTGACTATAGATGAGATGCAGTGGGATGAATGAAGTATTTGTCACGGTCATAGTCTTTCACTGCTCCTCATAATAAAAGTAGGAACAAAAATTTCACAGGAACATAGTGCTAAGGATGGCACTTTTAATTAAGGACAACTTTAAATTTTAAGAAGTTTAAAAGTGCTTTTGCGTGAGCATCTCTTAATGTGGCCAGCACTCCTATCTTTATAGGAGGGATAGGAGCAGCATTGTGACTGAGAACTAGATTGTGATTTGTCAAAAGGCTACACAGTATATTGGTTTGAAGGTTTTTTTAGCATTTCAGATGAGGTTTTTAAAAGTGAACAAATAGGAATTTCCTGAAGTATCAAATATAACAGGGATGATAGTGATTTTTCTGCTTTTGTGTTGTAGCCTGTCTTTGTTATTTACAGGAGTTTCCTGTTTTGCACAACAGTGGAACTCTTGGCAATGGTGAAATTTAAAATAACATTAAATTTCTCATTGGAGTGCGCTGAGCATTCTCAATATGAAAGTCGCTGGCTTTAAAGTATTTGTGAAACAAGATTCTCTGCAACTTCAGAAAATCAGTTCTCTTCACAAATATAAATATGAGACCAAAACCAACTAGTAATGAAGCTCAGACTCTGGAGTTCAGCAAGACACTGCAGTCTGATACTTTCTCCTCTGTAATTACTGCATATAGTGACCCCAGCCCCATTTTGATACCGTGACCTGATGCTGCAGTGCAGTTAGTGAGCCTCCATGAGAACATTTCCTTTCTTAGAGAGCATCAAGGCCCTGAGAAGCTAGTGCAAAATTGAATTCTGAATCTCCAGTGCACAGTACATTTGTTTCCTAAGGTAGCCATATTAAAAAATGATTTTTAACTTCAGAGTACAGGATTGGAAGGAGGCACTGTACTGGTACAATGCTGCACTGAACATGACTGACTATGATGAGGGAGGTGAATATGATGACACTCAAGATGAGCCCCGGTATCTGCTTCTGGCCAGGGAAGCAGAGATGTTAATGATGGGAGGGTTCCACCTGGGTAAGGATCCGCAGAGATCAGGTGAGGCCTCACTTTGTTTTTGTAATCAGTAATCCTGCTTTTCCTTCCCTTTTCCCCCAGCATGTACCCCAAAATACATTTCCTGCTTCAGCTTTAAAAACCATATAGAGGGTCAGTACCCTCAGTTTTGTGGATGAAACTGTAATGCGGGATGATACAAGGCTGGAAGCAGGGAAATAAGAGACCTTGCCAATGGCAGGGGTTGTGGGCAGTGCCAGGTATAGTCCTGTGACACGCTGAGACAGTAGCAGGCAACCTTCCCTCCCTGTGAGGCCTCTGAACTGCAGGTTGCTGCTTGTATTTTGAGTTACACCCATGACTCCCAGGCCCTACGCAACATTATCTTAGTTGTTGTGTAATCTACATGTCAGGCATCTAACAGAGTCCTCTTGGGGGGACCCTACAGGCCAGTCCTATTTCCAGTCCTTCCAAATACATGGAAGAGACATCAGCAGCCAGTCATACAAGTTTCAATTTGAAGAGCAAAAGCCAGATTCCCAGCTGATGTACTGAAGCTATTAAAATACACCCATACGTCCAGCCCTGTATTTTGACCTCAATTTCCCTTTTTGTCCTTTAATTTGTCGTTTAATTTTCTTTAGCCTGTCAGCATAACTGACACTGTTTCCTTCTCTAGGTGAGCTGTACACGGAGGCAGCAGAAGCAGCCATGGAAGCCATGAAAGGCAGATTGGCAAACCAGTACTACCAAAAAGCAGAAGAGGCTTGGGCGATGATGGAAGAATGATGCTGCAATTAAGCAGTTCTTGTATATAATCTTTTTTAATAGACCTGCTGCATTTGCAGCTAAAAAGATATATTTTTATGTGGTGTTACCAGTTTCTTTTTTTGTATTTTAGTTTTCTAATTTTTTTGAGGAGAAAAATCCAAATGTAAGTGGTACGTAGGGTGCCATAGCATACTTCTGCTAGTGTTTTAAAGCTGTAATACAGACACGCTTGACCTTTTGTATGTTTCAAACTGTCAGAACTGAGGAGCCTATTTTTTTTTTTTGACAAAAAAATGAAGCTGTTTGTTTAGGTTTCACACATCCCTTTTTTTACACAGCAAATGATCAGTGTGTTTACATTTTTATTCTCCCCCCATACAGAAAGACATTTTCCTAAATTCTTAGCATTTCTTGATCTTTTTTGGTGTATCTCACCAAATTTGCATGTGAATGTAAATTTTCAATTTAAGCATGCAGCTACTCAATTCTAATAAGTAGTCCCATTACGCTGGTGGTGTTGGGCACTTCTCTTATTCTTCTCAAACAAATTCCAGATGGAATCCTTACAGTTTGGGGAGGGGTGAGGAAGATGCTTCAGATTAGCAGTGAGGATATTCATGGTGGAATATGTCTTATTCATTACCAGTATTGCATATTTTGCCATCAGAAAATCATTGATGTTCCTGATGAGGTGAGGTACCCAGGTACCTCTCTCATTTTCACGTTCTGCACCATATAGTAACCAAGTTGTATAAAATTCTACTGGTCTTATATGATATTTGTCCAATGGTGTACAGTAACAAGATATGTAATATATGGGTAATTTGAAGTTATTTTTACAGTGACATCTCAATTCTCAGTGAAGCTAGATCATCTCACTTGAAATGAGAATACACTTCCCACCATTTCCAGAGGGATGTTTGAAAAGGTTAGAGGATCTTGATTCACCTCTTTCTATATATAGAAAATAATTTATGTGATTTAAGTAGCCCTTAAAATAGTGTTTTGTCTGCAAATGGTTTCAAACACCAGTTAGAGAAAATTGCTCATTAAAAAGAGAAAATGTTATTATTCCCAAACACTTGAGTTTCTGTATCATGTTGCATAATCCTAACGAGTAATGCAAGGACAAATACATGGTGGTGGTTGAATTATCATTGCATAGAGATAAGTGTCTTTTAAATCCAGTATTTTATTCCAAAGATGGTATGTCATCTACAAGGGTAGTACAGAAGCTGTTCTTATTTCTTGACCATGGCTAACAGTTGTTTTGCAGGAGATTAAGATGGAAACTTTTGCCTTCTTGATCTTAAAGTCTTCTGAGGCTGTAGATTTATATGAATAAGGGGCAGCCCCTGTGAAGTGCTGAATGACCTATAATGCTCACCAGCCTCACTTTAGCCAAACTTTTAAAAGCATGCTTAAAACTAAGCAGGCTGCTAGATGGTGCACTTGATTTAGTTGGGACTTCTTGCATGCATAGCCCAGTAATACTAATTTCTTGTAAAATTAGTAACAACTGCCACTGTCTGAAAGAGGTGATATCCTGGTGGTTAAGAAAGTGAGAAGGGAAGATCGGAATCCTTTCTAGGAGAGAAGGAAGTGTTATTCCTGGATGTCCTACTTCTGTGGTGCTGTGACCACCAGGCAGTTCTAGCCATGAGTAGCCTTGCAACACTTGGACACATCTTCTGTCTGTATAATGCAGGGGGTGTGGGCAAGTAGTGCTCATGGCCTTTTTATTTTGTTTTTAGTTTTGTTTTGAGGGTGAAGCGCTTCACCCATTAATGGAGGAATGTCTAATTTCTAGATCTCAGTTGGGCTGAGGTAGATGTTAAGCTAGGTACTGAAATAACAAATTTTTGGACCTAATGTTTTTTGGACCTAATACGCTGAAATAGAACCAGGGTTTGTAGGATCCCAGGTCAGATGTTTTAAGTGCCTATCCAAAGTTCTGCTTTAGGTGCCTAAAGCCTCTTTTGGATGTGGCCTTTTTGCCCTTTCAGTTCATAGCATTAATGTATCAGCTGTCAATGAAAGGCGAAGGTGCTGTTCACCTCTGAAGACAGCTGAACAGTCAAGTGTCCTGTGCAGAAACGATACACTCTAGGCACTATAACAAATTCAGACAAAATGATTTCTTTTCTTCATGAGGTGTTGATGCCAAGTCTTTGAGACTTTCCTTGAGAAGGAGGCATGTGTAACACCCAACAACAACCATATAGGGAGGAGATGAGTTTGAATGTGCTAAATTCAGTAGTTGCTAAAGTTGCTGAAAGTTCTCTGTAGATCTGGTATGTAAATGTGCATACAGCGCTAAAAAAATTGTTTAATTCTTTGTTCACAAATACTGCTTTTTTAGTAATGTAGACTACCTTCCATCTTAAGGTGGTATTGTATTATTTAGCTATACAATAAATAGAACTGTCAATAATTTGAAAGTTGAAATTGTTTACAGAAATATGCACAACTTATTCTATGCCATTCTTTTGAAGATAAACTATATGTTTGACAGACTTTTGGTATGATATTGCTATATGCTGTATTTTTAATCTATTCACAATGAATAAATAAAAATCTCTATTTTTAAAAAATGTGAAAATAAATCTGAGGCTCAGCCTGCCAGAACTTACCCGGGTCCAGTGTTTCCGCATGTCAGTGGGAATGTTGCTTGTGTAAGGACAGTGAGATGGAAGCCTTTGTTTGTGTGTCAGACATGGAAATACTGATTGCCTGCATCACTTAGTCCTCATTCACTTTGTCTGGTTTCATTCTGGCTGATCAATAAAGTTGTTCTTTGTGTCACTTTTCTCAGTAATTTTAGTCATTCCATGTGGGGGTTTGCTTTTTGGTTTTTTTCTCTATAATTTGCCAGAATTCAATCCTACTGTTGCAAGCTTCCAGAAAACAGAAGTAACTAACTAATAGGAAATAACTAGATGTTGTAGAAAATGAAATGGTTGATGTGCTGTTCTATTTGCATTCAATTGCAGATGCAATGTCCGTAATTAATATGGGATAAGATGTATAAGGACTGAGGTGCTCATTTGCAGTACTGCTAGAGAGGCATCCTTGTGCCTTCAGTCTTTGCTTAGTCCTGAGAAAAGAATGGAAATACTTGATGTCTGTGACTTGAGGTGGGAGAGTTTTTTGTCATGGCTACACTATCTAATGATACACTATCATCTTCAGTATGATTTATTCCACTTTCTGTTCAAGAATAAACTGTCTAATACTAGTCCTTTTAAGCTGTTAAAAAGGGAGCTCTTGCTGTTGCTTTAATTGCTTTATTTAGACAGGTATAATTTATTATACCCGTATAGTTTAAAAAATAGGAAATTGTTCTCTAGCAAAGGTACCTTGAAATAGCACAATCTCATAATGGAAAAAGCCCCAGTAGGGCCTCTTCCCTCCACCGTACTGTCACTAAGATGAAAAATGGTGAAATTTTGCACTGCAAGTCTTGTCTTTAGCTGTACCTGCTGCCCCTGAGAGCTGGTGTTTGGCAAGCGTAAGGAAGTGGGGCTAGTATCCATCAGAATGCACACTGCTAGCCAACTTCCAAAGTGTAAATAAGAATATTGCCTGTTTCTTAATTACTGGTCCGTGGGACTGATTTGAATCTCACTGTCTTTCCCACAGGTATAATTTCACTTCTGAGAGTAGCATGACTGCTGACAGACACTGATGTAGTTTAGGTGGGCCAAATCAGGACTTCTCATCTGAATTTTAAAAGGGAGGATTTCACTTGAACCTCAGGTTGGATTCAGGGCCGGTGCTTCTGGTGGCAAGTCAGGCTGTTTTCTGGTTTAAGTTCAGGGGCAACTCTCATGTGCTTCCCACTGCTGTGGACCTGAACACTTCATGGGAGCAGCTCCTGAGTTGGAACCATCAGGCCTGGTCCTTAGTCTGGACATAATTGATACAAATGATGGGTCCTTGCTCTTCTCTGCTTTCCTGGCACAGGACTTGGACAACATAATGAGGCTGGTAGCTTCTGTTGCATTTTGGGTTCTCCTCTAAGTTCATTCTTTTAATTTGGAAGAAGTCTTGTAATCATCTTACCCTGCACTGGTAAAATGAGAAGCCTGGTGACCTAGCTGCCAGCCCCAAGGGGCAAAACCTGTGCTTTTATCCTCTGTAAGTGAAAAATCTTGGGAACAGAGGCTTTCTTCACTGTTCAGGGACAGAGGCTGAGCTCACCCATGGCTTGCCAGAAAAGCACTTCTCTGGAGGGCTGTTGATGCATCTCATTGCCTGGGCAAAAGGGGCCGTGGTGCTGAGCAGCCCTCACAATGAGAAAACCACCTGTAAGATGCACTCTGTGCAGCCTCTCACACACATCTTTCACCACCCGCACCACCCCGCCACAC